TATTTTTCACTGGTGACTCAAACATCAAGAAATAATAATCTTACACAATTTTTTTCGTTCGAGTGAACCTGCCTGCATGGTTAATTAATTAGAGCATCTTAGGTTTTCATGCAGCGTTTACATAAAATATATTAGCCTGCTAAAAGCTGCTGTTATCTAACACAACCGCTCTCTGTGTTTTCGTATTTTCAATTAAATGAACAAATTCGCCCCCGTTATTCACTGCTTTATTATGGCGATCATAGTGAGCTGCGTTTATGATAGTTTCTGCTGCCCTACCTCACGACAGCGGTCTGCTGCCCGCTATGTCAACAACCGCTAGGTGTGAGTGAGCTATAGTCATCTAAAGAGGCACACTATCGTTTTCACTCCAAAAATAGAGAAGGTGGACGAAGTTTTCAACCTAATAGAATAAACTAAATAGGTAGTGTTATTGCAAGCCTACGATAATAACCCCTTTATTTGAATTCATGGTTGTAATCAACATGGAGGAGTTTATTTAGATCTATTTTTATACAATTACATCAATAGGCTGTGAGGTAGAGTTCTGACTTATTCATATCGCAACAACTGTTAAATTTGCTGAAAGTATATGCTATGCTAACTGCTCTATCGGGGGACTGAGTTTATGTTGCACGGAAAGCGAATGATACGCCATCTTCTAGAGATCCATGTGCTGATACACACCTACAATGCAGTTACTAGAATTAGCATAACTTTGCACTTTTATAACTTGAATAAATTAGCCGAAAGTAACTAGCACTAATTGTTACTATGCTAGCCGTATACTACTCACAGTAGCTAAACCTTCATGCTGCGCCTAAGTACGTAGAATAGGAGCGTTTTAGTCTCCAGATTACTCCATTTTGTCCATATGTATAACCGCAGAAACATCTGGGCCATTAAGATATTATTATAGCATTTTGTGAGTCGTCTCGAAATCGAAGATCGGCCTTTCATTACAAGCTTGCCTTTTATTAGGCCAGCTGACAGCGTCAAGCTGCTTAGAAACGCAGAAATATATCTATTTAAATAGTGTCCGATTACTAGCTAGTTTCGGTCGTGCACATTCTCGCGTGACGATGTTTACACGTTCTTCGAAAATCTCGCTCAGCGCCTTTATAATTTCGAATTACAAAAATGCCTTTTTATTGTTAAGTGCAATGCCGGCTTGTTCTAAACACCTGGGTAAATTGCACTTCTGATATAGGTATAAAGTGCAGCTAAAGGAATTCTTTTCGCCCACAAGCTGACTGATATCCTTGGCGTGAGGTTTACTCCACTAGGTCCAAAAGCTGTCGGAAGTTCCCGTTGTAACAAACGACCAGTATGTGTCCAGTGTAGAGCGAATGTCGGCTGAATATGACTGGGTCGAATGGGCGGCCTAAGTCAAAAATACACGGGCCACGTCATCTCGTTTGCTGCTCAAAGTTCGAAGGAAGTTTTTAGGCTTATTGCATTGCGCTGTATGTAGGCGTATCTTTTTTTCAATCCTGTTAATAGCATTACTTCTTTATTCACGCAAGAAATGATCGATGGGCCCTTGGCCATAGACCAGCACTCCCCTTGCCATTCGGTAGGCAAGGATCCAATGTCTGGGTATGTCCATGTCAGTATAAAGGCCATTATAGGAACTAGCTCCATGCGTAAAACAGAACACTCTAGTCTAGACGGGACTGCAGTCTTTCCCCATCCACATTAGTAGCAAACAGCAATCGTGTACACGCCTGGGAGCCATATAGACCGGGTCCACGTGTAAGTTCAAGTAAACAAAAAACATACCTAGTCTTTTGAATAACTTTATTAATGACTCCGATAATTGATTTGGTTCTATTGCGTGCCACTATCGGTAACTTAACTGCGGGTAAAGTTATTGATAATGCCTGATAAAGCTCGAACAGGTCTTTAGTGGTAGGTCAACATCTAGGGGAGTACCATAAGCTTTTCAAGTTGACAGTGGAATAAATAGGTTTTTTGAATTGACTTTCTCCACGATACAGAAATGGTATCTCTTGGCAGCATTATTAATCTCGGGGTTTGCCATTTGTCAATTGCCTACTGCAACTTTTGGATCGCTGTATAAAAATAACGTGGGTATTGGCCTGCATCGCCCCAAAATGAAAACTAAAAGCGCGTTATTGGATTTTGCCTTGAAAAGGAATCGCGTTGTGTATTCTGATAGGCGTATCCTTTCGATCTAAATCGTTGAGAGTGTTTTCTGCATATATTTACCGATAATTATGTGCTACCGGCAGCTCCTGACAACACCGACCAGATCAGTCGCTGATACTATTTGCATCAATAAAACTGGTACGGTTACGTGCTCTGGCCTGAAATTCGTTTGTTAAAAATCAACGCCGTCATCAAATGGACATCGAAAACTCTAGCTGAAAATGGGCTCTATATTTGTTAGAATCGAACGGAAATTCCATAAATCACAATGGTAGATACCATTATCTTCGCTTGCCTCATCCCCTTTGATGCCCCCTCCACAAAAGAAGCTCCTTCAAGCAATAATGATTACCGATGACCGGTATTTCCTTAGATGAACTTGTATGGTAGCTGCTTGCTTCCGGCTAAAGATTTGGATTGTGTGCCTGGGGTGTTCCTGTAGTGCGCTTGAAATAGGTAAGTACATATGGAAGACAAGTAATTCAAGGAGAACGATAACCTTCTCGTGGCGATAAGCCATTTATTCGGTCGGAGATGCGGATTTTGCTGTACGATTCCACGAAACACGAAATAATCTAACCGATTCTTTGACATAGAGACGACCTTTCGTTTTCTGATTCGATAGTTTTCGCAGCGATACCAGTGGGGATTCCGTATTCATTCACCCGGTCACCCACCATTCCGACCACCGACAATTGATAAGTTTGCATCTATATTGGTATTGATAACCTTGAATGCACATGTAGTTAAACGACGTAGTGTGCCTTGTTTCTGAGGTCAGCTTTGAAAATGACTGACAGGCAACGGATCCGTTGGCCTAGTATTCCTTTAGTGCCTGAGCATGGGCAGGGTGTATTTTGTAATTATTATTTAGTGCAGTGATGGATTAGTCCTATTGTGAAAAGCAAGAACGGACGTATGCCTGATGGCACCACTCTCATCACGCCACCAACTTGAGTGATATAACTTCGTGTTATATAGTTAATCAGTAGCTCAATCATCCATTGCATCATCATCATCATCTTCAATTACAGATCTTAGATGTACGTGCAGTACTTACGTGCACAGCAATATCCCGAAGATGTCTGCTGCATAAGCGTACACTCGAGCGCTTTCAATCCACGTGCAAGAGTAGCTGTAGCTAGAACATCTTGTAGTCTGCTACATTCATTCTAGAGTAATTTTGATGTTAATACCAGCGCCTCCGATGCGATTTGTGAGCATACGATCGTTTGCGCTGTTAAATGTTGTAAGAGTTTTAACGTGCTACATTATACTTCAAATTTAAAAAAAATATGAATATGTCAAAGAAAAGCGACGATAAACTCTACAATCATGACAATTCATCGGTGTTCAACAGCTCCGACAATTTCGGCTAGCCTTATGGTCATATGAAAACAACTGTGATAGTTTCTTAAAGATGGACAGCTACATACGTTTTGTACAAGTGAGCTACTGATGCATTTTTGGCGTACGGTTTTCTAAATGGGTTGGCGTCGAAGAAAGTATTAACAGCTTTAAGGACTGACCACAAGCTACCTTCGGTCTTCGTATTAAAATTTTTTCTTTTTCAGGTACATGCTTGTCCATGGTCTGGTGTCTTTTACAAGGAAAAACACACCGGTCGCAGTCGTTCTGAAATTCGGCGGATTTAAGTAATCTAATGCTCTGAATTTAACTTCGTTTACAGTAATAGTAATTATATTGTGTATTGTATGTAGTGCACTCAGTACATATGCTACGTCTACGTCGTGGCTTCTGTTAGCGTTTAATTGAGCCCTAAATATAAAACAATTTAATTGCCAGGATGCTGTGGTAGTGTGTGATGAGGTACTCACGGCGGTACGAGTTTTCCCCAAGGAATCGCGCATTTCTATTCGGCGTTACATCTCTTTGGGGAATGGAGTATTCTTTTTCCGGTGCGGTACGAAAGAACGATAGAAAAAAAATCAATCAAAACTAACCAGTCAATATCAATGTATTAAATCGCCTATAACTTAAGTTGCTCAGTCTTCCAAGGTTAGATATGCCTATATGGGTCTGTGCGTTATGCTTTGAAAGTAAATTTCGGAAAAGCTTGCTTGATATTTGGCAAAAGCCTTTACGACTTGCATCTATTCTTTAACCTTAGACCTAAGTAAACGATACGGAAAACTAGCACAGTAATGAAACGCGACATTTTCTTTGGTTTATTCACATTTTTTTCAGGAAAAACCGACTTTCGGACAGAAGATCGTGGACCGTAGCGACACCTACCACGTACACGCTCAACGTGCGGTGTTTGTCACACCTCCCATACAGCGTATCTATTTTCGGCGCGTCCAGTTCCGATTTCCGCATTGATTGCCGCGTCGGAAGAAGCCTACTTACGTCTTAGGCGCGTAATCGTTTTTGCTTAAGGGGCAGAGTCCCCGGGGTGATAACCTAAAGGGCGTTCGTGGTCCTATCTAACGAAACATCTGTCGTAACCGGCTGTTAGCCCAATTGGGGAAGCACAGCTTGGCGAAGATAGTCCTATTGTTGTCTGCAGCGAACTGTGGTAGGTACCTTTTGTAACAAACCATACAATTGTCGATTGACTCCCTACCATGTTGCATGTGAAAAATATTCTCAGAAAATAGTAAGCGGTATTTTGCGTAAAGTAATTTCACTGTTGAGTTTCAATTGATTTCTCTTTTTTGCTGAGTACTTTTTATATTTATCTTGCTTGCTTGGCATATGTCGCCAATTTATTAGAGCCACAATATGATTGCAAACTATAAGTTTCGTCTGGTTTCCAGAAAAGAATATAAGTTCCTTTTTATGGTCGTCTAACAAGCAATATTTACATAAGAGCTAGGTCAACAATGGTTTGAGCTCATTATTCCGTGAAGGCAACGAAAACGAGCCCCAAGAGTCATCCGTTTGTATTGCCACCAATATTTCGATACCATAGTTGAGTAAAATTATCGTCGGCGTTTTCAGCGATGTTTTCGGCGTACGGGAAGCCAACAAGGCGAAGGCAGCGTCACTATTATGATCCACATTTTTTGTCTGACAGAACTTCTCGGTTCGTACATTTCGATCGTATTAGATAGAACCATGCGGACCTGCGTGTTTTATTTAGACGTACTTCAGAATATCTATTTTCTTTTCTACTCGTGGTGAACACTTTCTGCCGGCAGTGTATATCAGTATCAAACGCTGTGTCGTTTCTAGATATCCAGCTGAGTGGTCAGGTGAATGGTAGTGTTTCAATCATATTGCTGTGTCGAACTACCGTGGGCATCGACGGCTGCCGTCGTCACTGGGGCACTGGGGGATGCTTCGGAAAATGCAGGAGTTCGCAGTGAAGTGGGAGAAAGTGTTGCGGAATCCTTTCTTGAATATGCAATTGTTTTTCTTGGTAACTATTATCTCTCGAATGATATTGCACAACTGGATCAATTGAGGAACAATCTCATAAGCCACAGAAAAGGCTTATGTGATTTTTTTACGTGTCGCGAGTCGTACTCTAACCTACTATTTTTCTGCTTTTAATATTCATAGGAACAATGTGAAATCGTCATCATTAGCGTAAGTGGAAAGCCCCATTTGATAAATTTCTAGTATCGTTTTTAGAATGTTGATAGCGCAATGTTCATTGATCTCTATTGAGTTGACGTTCATATATACTAAATGACGTGCGTGACTGAGGGCTTTGATGTTTGCTGTTGTCGATGATTTGTAAATTGTATGATTTTCTCTAGGAAACCTGGTTACGAAGCTGAGATTTATCGTGATCAGACTTATAAGATTGCCCCTCACCACGGGGCTATACAAACTCGTCGAGTGTCACAAAATTCGACGCGCCCAGTAGGTTCATCAAAGAGCTTCGAGCTCTCCAGCGAACTTGATGTAGAGAGTATGTCGAGCGATACGGGTGTTCCGCGCCAATTTGGCATCACAAGCGAATGGAGCGTGACATCTAGCAGCAGTTCGGATGTAGCGCGGACAATCGATGTTCAATCCGACTATAAGGTCAACAGCGTAAGTGGACACAGGAAACTTCCGCCACCTATTGGTACCGGAAAACAACTTATGACCGCTTTTAGACGCCGAAGAACGGGTTAGTTCTTACTACGTCAAATGCCAGGGGCATACGTGACGGGAGGCAAGACGGCACGAAAAATTCAGTAAATATCAGATAGAAATAAAACACGCAAAAAACAGGCCAGAGCGCGTGCTTGGTGGGCGTATATTCGGTGTTCTAATTCAGCTCTTATCTCGTGAACGTTTAACCTAATGTACTAATATCGCGTGTAACCAACGCGTCGTACGATCAAAGGTAAGTACGTACAATTCAAATGATTAATTTACGGAAAGAAAATAGCGGCATCTAACGCAACGGGTCTTTTTATAGCGGTAGAAAAGGGATGAAAAAACGGGATGGAAAAGGGCGTTCACTTTGACAGAAGTCTGACTTTTTTTTTTGATAATGACTTTTGATAATGACTGATTTGTTTCTTTAGCCGGTTCCACAGTTTGCTCGTTTCTCCCCATACCGTTCAAAACAAAAGTGGTCTAAGACTAGACAACGGCACTATCGGCACGTGGATTAGTGGATCGTACAAGATACATTCATGAGTATTTACTGGCATTCCGGCATTTCAGATCTATATGCTAAAAATTTTGCGCTAAAATGCACCATTGGCTGAGTGAAGAGCACAATGGAGCATGGCTACTCTTGTAAGTCCTTAATGGCCAAGGTCCACATAGAATTATCAGCGGTGGCAAAGAATGAGTACTTCAGCTCATGAAACGCCGAAGAACAGAATTAAGCCAGATCTTCTCTCTGGCTAAAGGCCCTGATTTACGTGTATGGGGACTGGGTTGAATAACACAGCCAATAAAAAAGGTCCGCATAGTGCTTACTTTGGTGAAGTGAACAAGGCTTTACGACGCCATGACCCCAAGACAAAACTAGGCCGCACGAAATCCAAACAGCCTCAACTGTATGCGGATTATGCGTCAACGGATTACCATTCTTCCTATCGATGACAAATGAGATTTGTAGTGAAAACAGTTAGTTTGACGGGTGGTCTCGACTCTTCTTGGCTAATATTGGACCTGGAAATTTCTGGCGTGTATGATTAAATAAATTGATCCACAGTTTGCAAAAGCCGTGGAGAGCGAAAGCAAATACAATACAGAGGCATTTATATATATGCATGTTTTCTGAACCCTTCAATCAGTGTGTTCAATCATTCACATCAGAAACGTCAAGGTCTAATGTCATTTTGGATGACACTTTTGTGTAACGTCTATATAGAGGTAATGGAGAGAAAGATACTGATAATATAATCTTTTTCTCTCTCTCTCTCTCTCTCAATATATATATATATATTTTTTGCTCTATTGTGAAATATGTGGCACTGTTGACGACGACGGCGTGTCATAGATACTGCACCACTCGAGACATCTGCCTTGTCTATTGAAAACAAAACGCATCCTCGGGTAGTCCGTATGGACGAAGTCGATGCAGAAGCTGAAAATGTATTGAGCATATATTTCCGACGAAGCACGACAGTCAAATATTATATGTATTATAATAGCACATGCTGTGTGTTCACAAAAATTAATGTGTTAGCTCCTATAAGGCTTATTTTATCAAAAGTTTTCGTCTAATCGAGAATTACGAAGCCTGTTATGGCGCACAACCGTGTGTCATTTTGGAAATCGGAGGGATGATTAGCTATTAACCGGTTTCTAGGCGCTGGATGAATTCCCACTAAGAACAAAAACTTGCGTCACCCGAAATCAACCGTGTACAACCTCTCATAAACAGCAGTAAAAACAGAGCTACTTGTAGTACAATACAATGGAAAATTTACGACAGAAAACACAGTGCGGACATGAAGGTTAATTGCTCTCGCCCAGAAGTGTATTATTACTGATCCTTACGTTTTTATTTGAGCGAAAAAAATGTGTGGAGATCTCAACTACATGTAATACATGATTAAAGTCAGACCAGCTCTTTGAAGACAACAGAACCAAGAAATATAACCGGTGTTGTTTGTTACTCATTGCTTTTCTATCATTAAGTCGTTTTCAATTATTCCCCCGACAAGATTTATTTTCGATGCAAAAATGATCGCCGGCTTTCTGCCGATTCAGACGGTATGCCTATTGTGAGTAGAAGTCAATTTTCAGACGTAAAAAAACGTGGTGTCCAATAAGAGGTAAGGTATACGTCATCCGTAAAGGCAAACAAGTTGCTTTATTTGTATGTTTCAAACTGTTGTGCGACATTGTCTAACTGAGATGTCTAAAGGAAGGCCATACATCTCCCAAGAATTGATTCAGCGATTTAGTGAAATCAAGAGGTGTGAGGTCGAACCAGGCATTAACACATACGATCGCCAAATAGCTCATATTTACCAAGCAGACGTGCAACATAAGATTGCCGACTTGATTTTATTAAATCGACGAAGTAGAAAACATTTGAAATAAGCCTGTAAGCGGTGCGAGAGCCAAAGCAAAACTGTGATCGTGATGAACAGTAGATACACTCAATAAATAAATAAATATGACCGTTAAAATGAGCGCGTGTAAAACAAAGTAGCAGACTGAAAAGTCCCAACTTAGAGATATCGTACCCCTATATATATAATGGGTTGTCAAAAAGGAACTGGCGTATTTCTAAGGGGAAAAATATAGCAAATGTTTGATGTTTCAAAATAATCTTACCAAAATAAATATACGCGCGGTTTTAATCGCTGGATTTCTGTCATTTTTGCTGTAATTTTATTAATTTCTATGCCTTTTATTAGACGAAATAATTCCCATAAACTAAAACTAAAGCTTTCTATGATCTATCACTACAAGGTGTGAGCTACACGGCGCATGCATTGAAACGTCTATATCGAGTGTTCCCTGAGTATTTTCCGGGCGATCTAAGCTTTTGTTGAACCTTTCAGTGGTTTGTTATAATCGTAGAGTTTCGAATCAATCATTTTACCACACGGTATTAACTTACAATATTTCTATCGCCATCTTTTGCTTTTTATCTGGTCGAAACACGTAGTACCACCTTTTTTGGCGTCGGTCCAAGCTTTGTCAATCACGTATATTTTACGTTTTTGCCACATCATGTACTATCGTACGTAATCGATTTCTGATCACTAGTGATTGAACGCTCTGAAAATAGCTTACTTTTTCCATAGGGTTTATATAGAGGTTTAAATTCTTTGACGTCAATTCGGGTGGTATCTGAACGTCGGGCCAGCTTTTTTTTCAGATGCTTTAAAACTATCTAGGGACGGATTTTTATGGCTATCCACGGGTTGCTCGTACCCAATTTTTGCAATCATGTCATCAACCTTTCCGGCAATCGGTCGATCACTGTAAGGAGCAGTCGCTATATCAAATTTTTAGAATGAAAACGACAGGACCACCTTCGGGCCGTTCCTTCCGATAACGGATCTCGACCATAAACAGCAATTTTTCTTTATGGGCCTGGACAGTACTTTTGCCTTCACTGTGATAAAACTCGACAATACAGTATGTGGAAATGTCACTCATCTTCAAAGCGATCTGCCTTAATTCTAGCATTTCTACTTCTGCCCAATTTTGGCTTTCGAGGTGCACCGACGCCTACCTGATGTTACTCAGCTCATTTGAAACATGTAACTTTTGATAGTGCAGTCTGGCTAGAAAAAGGTCAACATTTTATTGACAACCTGATATCAGTGGATCAAACGGGACTGAAACAGGTTTGTCATTTGAGCATGGCAACAATTTTACTGCAAGGCATATATTTGCAAGGCATATATTTGCCATTCGATAAGATAGATGCCAATGTTTTTGAAATTAGACTGTGGACTGCTATACATAAATAAATGAAAATGCTGTATCTATATTACCAATTAAATAGAAACTCATGTGGGATGCATTACAACTGTTCATACTTTATTTCAGGGAATGAAGGTAGCCTCCAAGTTTCCCATATTTTGCAAAAAGTTCCAAGAAGTTCGAAGCATTTTTTTGCGCAGTAGCACAGAAAGTTGGAATTACTCATTACAGCTTCTTCAATATTGTTTTCAGTTTAGAGCCGAGAACGCTGAAAGGGGTTTTTTTTTTAGAAAAACTCCGTCAAAAATACATCGGGATAGTGCAGCATCTTTATGTACATCGAAAAAGACGGGGTTAATTCGCGCTGTATACTACGAAAAAAATAACCCCATTAATTTTGATTATGCAGTTATAAGGTCAGTTGCAGCATGTCTATCGTACATTCGTATTCCATATGGCGAAGCAGTAACTTCAACACGGAAGATTGTCTGACTTCCTAATAGAACTAGGCTTATTATTTTGCTACGTGGACCTTTCAGCCATGGTTTTGGATGGTATGCCTTCTGCCATCTCTATAGCAATCCAACGCTCCATAGGCCAAGTACTCAGCGATGAATAGCCAAAGGTCTACTTTATATCAGTAGCACTGTCTCCATCGACCTGCTCTGCAGTGTCTCTAGCTAAACTAGCGCTATTGAATTCTCCTTCGTCTAATTCTTCTGCCTCGGATTTTATTTCCATTTTCGACACGAGTAAACGAAGCAGCGTGACTTGCATCTCCATATTTCGGCTGATCTCACGAATCCTGCATAAAAAACAGAAGCAATTAATCAAATGGAAGGTCCATGGTTCGGGTTGCAGTGCGAGATAATGCGTATCAGCTACGGAAAAATGGCTTGTTTCTGTTAACTAACTTATCTTTCTGCCGGCCCAGTTGTTGGTGGATGTCATTGATGTTGCTTTCGATGAACTGCGTAAACGACTTGTGAAGGTTTTTACTGTTTCTGCTTTGGACTCCGTTGCCGTTGTTTCGTGGGCTTCCGAACCAGCGTTTGATGGTGCGCCACTGTGCAAATCCAGAAAGCATCAAGTTTAAGAGAATAACAGAATATAATTAATACAAAATGTAATAATTATAATAATGTTGATGCATTTTTTCTTCATAGCCGCGATTCATGTTCTTCGTCAGAGATTTATCAGTATAGAAGTATGCTACAGTAGAAAAATATTTGCTGGGAATAGTTGCTATATAAAGATTTGTCTTCGTTATACTGTTAATTAGCTAACACTAGGGGACATATTTGTGTGTCTGGTAGACATTAACGAAAGGCAGAACCAGCCATTATCGGCATTAAGTATGTTTACCCACTTATAGTGTGCGTCGTATATCGACAAGCGTTATAAAGGAGAACGAATTGTTTTGATTTGCTCATTTTTACTTGCCGCCAATGGAATACTCACGAAAATGTTCCCAGTTCCTTTTTGATTTGGATGAATAGACACCTCGGTTCGGTCGACGCTATCGAGAATTCTTTTCGGTAGTTTTCTCTCAAGATCAGTATGCAGACGAACCTGCATCGTTAACCGTTTTAGTTGTGCATTTCGACGAACCGTCTCAATGTCACCGACGGCCAAACCTATCTGTGTTTACGGAAAGAACCTAGAATTAAGGACTGCGTTCCGCTGACATGGGATAATCTGTTCACTTACCACCATTCTGATTTACTCACGGCAAACAGCTTGCATCCTGACTCCGATATCCAGATCGGGGTCAGTAATCTTTTTTTATATTACTTCCAACGGTTCCTATCAGTACGTATCAATACAGGCCTTTTCGTCATTCGTTGGAAATTGATCACCACAGATGCTCAAGAAACGTTAGCCATTTTACTTGTAGTAGCGTGAACAGGTCTCAGAATCTCAGCGGTTAGAATATCCATAAAAATGACGATAATTAATTCGGCTGACTATCTTCAGTCAAAATGATAGGATAATCTGTTTGTGTTGTTTGAAAAGCTGTGGAAAAAAACGAGTGAATACCAACGCTCCGGGTTAGCACTGACTCCGAAATACTGCAACAGATCGTATGGTAAACGCACATACACAAGCAAGCAACGTCCATTTTTCCTTGCAGGCCGCCCTGTATTTTCAATTTAGAAGAACACTCACCAAGAGATTCATGAGGAGAATAGGCATCAGGATGATAAAGGCCACCAAGAATAGGGTAGCCGCTACAATTTGATACCATGTTGAGTTTTCTAAATTTCGTAAGGGGCGCAGATATGTGCCCAAGAAGTCCAGTTCGCCTAGCATCATTGTGCCCACTCGGATCAGCGACACAAGCGGCGTATGGAAGCCTTTGTCACCAAGACTCTGAAATGAATCCAAGTGTCCACTTAAAATATGGTCAATCCAATTGGCTATCGCTGAACGCAGAGCCGACAATCATATGTATATATCTTGTTTCAGAGCTAATCACACTGTGATGTATATAGAAACTGTTTATGTACATATTAGCTACCGTGCGATACTACAGTATATTATGCAATCGCTAGCCAATATAGAATCGTAAATTGATGAGTAGAGAATGCGAGTTTAGACCATTTTTTGCTTTCAGGGGTTGAGGCAAGATCATACTCACAATCGGCTTGAACGTAACGTTTCCTGTTCTATGGTCGAAGATAGGCTGCTGAACGGTAAGGTCAACGCGAGCCAATAGGATGTGGAATGATAAGCCAAACGCGATGATCAAGACCGAAAATACCATAACGACGCGCAGGAGCGTCGATAAAATTTCAAGGAACATCACAACATAGAGGCCCACTCGGTTGAACCTGGTAGCAGACGAAGCAATGCAATATTGTTAGGCGACCGTCATCGAGGAAAAGTTGTTATGTATCCAATACACCTCCCAAAGTTCGAAGGGCACTGTTAAATATTAGGCAACACAAGATGTTCTCTATTCCAATTTCAAGTAATGTTATGTTGTTTAGATAGAAAGATGTGTTCCGCTCTCGGGATCGAGTGCATGATAGGCCTCATTATCGTAAAAGAAGCGTATCTGTATTATTCAATTTGATAATAGTTATTTGTAATGATTATTAACCTTTGTAGAAATAGTAGATAGTTGAACCAAGCTAGAAAAACTGCTACCGCTGCAACGATGTTCTGGTATGATTTTTCCTCTATTCGAGTCAGCTGTGAGAGGGCCATTAAACCGGCTGCCAAATAGAGAGTCCATTCGAGTATGTTCATTACATCCACAAAATATTTTGTTCGCTAAAAGAAAGTAAGCAAATTAAACAAGTTTCGATAAATTGACAATTGGAATTTGCCTGTCATGTAGATGTGCCCATATACTGGGATAGGGTCAATAGTGGGCTCATGATTCGACAAAAGAAGGTAGAACAAAATGCCCCTGCAATAATTTCCTACGCGAGAGAACATATGTTACCCCACTGCGCCTCCTGCTTGCAGACATCACCGGACTCGATGCGTTACCTGTTGTATTAACTGAAAGGCTTCCTTGACAACGTTAACTAGGACGAATGATAATACGACCACAGATGTCATCGATGACAGGGTCGCCTACGAAAAACCAATCGTTACACACGCGTCGTTATGCACACATCATCGTATAATAGGCTTAGCTATATAATTATGATGATCGAACGGTATAGATAAACCTAACGAGATCAGCACACCCACTGAATTGAATACGGTAATGTTTCTTTCATGTACGTGTTATTATTACTATCTCTTTTATTGCTAATCATCTTCGTTCGTTAGGCCGTAGTCAGCTGAATACCGCCCGCTCATTTTGTGACAATAAACGACTAGCTAGATCTATACATTTTGTTTAACGAAGAAAATACAAACAAGCACTAACATTACACACACTTACAAGCGAAGGCCGAACGAACGCATCAGCAACCTCGAAACTAGATATTCCCTGATGCCTTTTTTTGTTGTCCTGCATTAGTTGCACCGCGTTTAGAGTGAGGAAACACAGAAAAACTGTATAAACCATCAGATTTAATATATGGAAATATATTCCGTACGCATTCCTGCCAACAGAAAAGGTAACATATGAGTCTTATTAGTGTTTCTATAATTACGGGCCGTTATTTCTTCCAGAAGAACGAAATAGGCGCACTGAGTTGCTAATGTTTCCATATTTATTTGGGCTCCTTCAGCATCCATCTCTCCCGCTAACAAAGCTTGTTTTGCTTAGACCGAACGTTTATAAATAGTGAGCACTAAGGAATGAATCATTTTTCACCATTTTGTTTCGAGATATTTGACGCTTAACGGATGGGACAGCAGCTCTTCGCGGCCATAGCGCACCATAATCTACAAAAGAACAAAGCGATAATCCCTGTTACTGCCATCACTAAACGACAGAGGTATCTATATAGAAACTATTCGAAATTAGGAAGAGCTCTGTTGAACACGCCGTTAAATTTTCAGTACACGTTCTTCCCTGCGCTAGTGGTTAGGAAAAACCGAGCGCTTACGTTCATAACGGGTAAGGGTTCATCTGTCATAGGGACCACATCTGCCCCTTCCGAATTTTGGAGACATGTGAAACTGTATTTTACCTGAAAAAAAAAAGAACCACTTGTAAGATGTCTATTAAGCCTAGAAAAATCATATAGTGCTTCATATAGCTTCGATAATAGATCAACACACTAGTCACGTAATTCGTATAGATGAGATTGGACTATACGTAGTTTTCTCTTGATAAAATTTCGTTTATGGAGATCTGAAATTAGCCTGCTTCCTTTTGAGTAACGCGCAGGACATAGCTGTTTTTTTTGCGTTGAAAAAAGGTAATGCCTATCACATATTACTTAACATTAGTGAATCTTGAATTCATTTGGCTTATCGTTGAATTGGACCTGACTGACATAGCGTTAATTGTAAAGACTGCCTTAGCATAAGACTGTTAGTAATACCCATAACACAAGTTATCATATTCTCTCAAGTAGCTTATACTTTTTTATTTCCTTTTTTTCGTCGCCTCACCGAATAGCAGTCTTTGTTTCTTTGTGGTCCGCTTAAATCAAGTGAGTTCATTATTGGGCATAAAAACTTATATTACAGCTTTGTTCATATAGAATTGGTGGGCTTTCTCGTTTACGACGCAGGGCGATGTTCGATCGAAGGTTACAAAACCTACAAAATATTCGTCGGAATCGTGGCTCATCTTGGACTTCGAAATGCCTCTATCGAGAACCGTCGTCATGACTTCAGGCATCACTGCAATCAATCCTTCAACGAGACAGCTGTAGGTTTTCACCTGACACGTCATTACTTCGTCGCTCCTGTACACAATAAAAATCTTTTGATCATTATATTGCACAGTTTAGAACGTGTCTATATTTGCTTCGAGAATGGCGCTGGTTACTTGACCATGTCTTAAACAATCCCATAGCAATTTTTCTTTCTACGCTAGCAGAATCGTTATAATAAATAAAGTCCAATTAGAATGCGTCCAACCTTGACGGATGAATCACCATAGCCATAGCGACCTCAGAATGTTTGTAATGGAGGGCGTAGTCCATAGGGGTCATATCGAGACCGTTTTTTATTATTTTGCAATTTAAGTTGAGTAGATTGATTGCAGTACTTGAGCGGTTTTTCATCGCTGCCATATGGAGGGCTGTATTCTGAAAAAAAAAAAATTATCAAGTGACGCCAAAAAGATATCGGATGTTTCGCGACCTGTTGCATTCTATTAATGATTTGTACATTAAAACAATTGTACTGATGGATAAGGGTGGTAACCGCGACGAATCTATGGCATGAAATGTTCTGACGTTCCAATACTGTCCTAACGCAATGAATTATTTCTGTACAACCAAGCTGTTTGCCTATACCTATCCTACAGAAAATGCCAACCCAATAATCCTTGAGTACAGAAGAGCAAAATTTTAAAAGGACAAACCCCATCAGGCATCCTACAGAAAATGCCAACCCAATAATCCTTGAGTACAGAAGAGCAAAATTTTAAAAGGACAAACCCCATCTCGATCCGTTTGGTCCAGCAAATGCGAGTGTACAGCAAGTAACTGATCCATTGTATTGTTATAACCGTTCATTGAGGCATAATGGAGTGGCGTACGACCCTTGTGGTCTCGATGCAGAAGAGCACCTATGAATTCGAAGAAATGTTATTGTTAAGCGCCCAGATATGTTATTATCAATATTATATAATTAAAGCCCACCTTTAATAATAATAGTGTGATACTATCTTCTGTATAAAACTCGCGACGGTAACAAAAGATGATAACAGACTAATTTTGAACTGAATCTGGCGAGCGTGATACACGGCATGATGGTTTACTCCAGAGTGCGGTGTGGACAAATCGTGAAGCTCGACGCCAGTGAAAGAAGAGTCGAGTCAATATATGCTATAAATGATTATAAAAATAACGCGTTCTTTATCTGTAGGCCTTAGACTTGAAATCAGAAGGTCTCCGCTTCTTATCGAGTTAGGCGAATTTATACGACTTTCCACTTGCAAATAGTTAATAAAATGAATTGTTATGCTTTTCTATTATTATTATTTTTACCGAATTATATTATTACTTGTACCAAAAGATTGAAACAAATAACCTGCCTTTATCAGATACAATCTTACAGAGACAAGGATACTCCGCGTTTTCAAAATACTTAAATTTTGAGCGTCAACCTAAAATATGTAAAAACCTTTTACAAGCAGTAGATGTACGACGCGCACGTGTCCGCATTGCGAAGCAAGGTGAAGTGGCGTCTTTCCCATCCCGTCCATCTCGTTAATGATGAGATGACCCTTTTTACTGTCGAGTAGATGACGAACCTGTAACAACGTATTGAGGATCATTTCATTTCAATTCTCTCGGCAAGCCGTATTCGATCGGCCCTTCTCACTTCATAGCCGGAAATCTTTGAAAATGTAGGCTTACTTCATGTTTAATGTGTATAATTTAATATACGATCAATACAATTTTCTGATTCGTCGAACTGATAAGTAATCAATTACGTTGCATGAAAGAATTTAAATGATGACAGTGGCGAACCACGGACCGTGTTGAAGCGTCCGAACATCGCTGCGAAGTGTAGAGGTGATTGGTTTTCATTATTTTTCAGGTTGACAGAAGCTCCTAAGGCTATTAGAGATTGAATACTTTTTAGTTGGCCGTTACGCGCGGCGTAGTGTAGTGCTGTACAACCATACGAGTCCCTGAAAACCGTGTCCAATAAAGGTTGGAGCGCAGGGCAGGAAGTGCTTAGTGAATGAACCTTACGCAACGTCAAGTCTAAGAGTTTAAGGATTACCTAACCTTCTATCTGTGAACGGTTTAAGGTCTGCATACTTCTCTTAGGTTAAAAATGGAATAGCTATGCTAGTGTGGCCGAGGACTCGTGTATTCGAGGAGCGTTAGAGTTCCAGTTGGAGAATATATATA